GGTCCCCGAAACAAAGAGTGCACAAAATCAATAAAAACTGCTCACATAACCCACTAGGGAAACAATTATTTGAATTTTGACAATACAATTTTACCGAGCTCATCTACAACATGTAACCAAGGTGATAAGGTGACCAAAGTGAGTTTCGGTCTTCGCCAAGAGGGAAAAATCTGAAAATACTCAAGAAATTGTCAAATATCACGAGTCGTTTTGAAGAGCCGGAAAAGTTGACTTAAGTTTAACAATTTGAGGGAACGTGCGTTCAGTAAGCAAGTAAGTAAACTCTCACTATTGATATCAGCTGAGAAACCTGTTTATCTTCTGCGCGCTGCGTAGAAACCAAATAATGCCTTAACAAAGACTTCGTTGTTCTTGCTTTTGTCAATTTAGATGTAATCCCAATCTCACATGCTTATAAAATGGCGGGCATGAGCTGTGCTAGCCACGTTGCTTTGTGAATCAGCAGAGCCGGTGTTCAAAATGAACTTTCTAATACTGGTCCTGTTTCTTGGAGCTACCGTCGCCTTGGCCGAGATACATGTGGGAAATGATCCACACCATGGCCACCACCATGGGGAGCATAAGCCATCAAAACAGCCACCGCCAACAACAGAGCCAGACAAAGTAGCTGACGAGGAAAGCGATNTGTTCTTGCTTTTGTCAATTTAGATGTAATCCCAATCTCACATGCTTATAAAATGGCGGGCATGAGCTGTGCTAGCCACGTTGCTTTGTGAATCAGCAGAGCCGGTGTTCAAAATGAACTCTCTAATACTGGTCCTGTTTCTTGGAGCTACCGTCGCCTTGGCCGAGATACATGTGGGAAATGATCCACACCATGGCCACCACCATGGGGAGCATAAGCCATCAAAACAGCCACCGCCAACAACAGAGCCAGACAAAGTAGCTGACGAGGAAAGCGATCCACGCCGCCCTCGTCCTTCTTTTGGGCCTGTCATGGTAAGCCGAGTTTGCTTCATAACTACTTAATATTTTTACTCATTCGTCCCAAGTTCCCGCACGATGTCATCTTAAACAAATCCTCATGCGAGCAACGTTAAACAAACACTTGCAGGTTTTCTTGAGTTTCCACCAACGTTTTGTTGCTGGAAATGTCGGTTTTAGCGATTGTCATATGCAAATGTCTTGTGACATTGCACTGAAATTAACTATTTAACATCTTTATATCTACTCATTCGACCCAAAATGGTTGTATGTTGTAATCTTAAAGAAATCGTCATGCAGTAACAACTGTTTTATTGAGTAGCTAGAAAGGTTGTGATGCTGGCATTTGAGTTTCGCAATTGTCATAATTATGTTTGA